AGCTGAACTTCTTTCTTCTTCCCAGTATTTCTTTAAAGCACTATTCTTCTATGTGGATGAACAGTCTTCATTTGGTGAGTGATGAAGCACTAGCAGCGTGCAATTCAATATCTCCGTATCTCCTGGAGATGTGTTCTGAAGGATGTGTGCCTCAGTTACCTCTGTGTGTTTTGCTTTGCCTGGTTTTGAAGCACACACTTTTCTGACCATTGCTTTCTTGGAACAAGAGTCCTCACTGTGCCTCTCTAGTTGTTTAGTTCAGAAGGAAGAAACCCTTTACGTGGTCTGTTTCATGTCTAAAGGGATAAGGTGCATTCTGGATTCTTCACGTACAAATTATCGGTGGAAGGCTTTGTTTACCACACAGCCTTGGTTTCAGGTATTTATCACTGTTTGTCTCCCTTTAGACAGCATAATGTGAGTTCCTCAAAGGTGAAAAATAACAGTTCTGGCATCTCAGAGAAATGTTGAGGCTCTGCATAGACAGGGAGGGGGCCTGGTTTGTGAGGATGTCCTTGCAACTAGCTGTCCTTGTCATTATTTTGTGGCTTGTAACTACCTTAATGCTAAACAGCAGTCTGAGACATTCAAGCCTGATGATTGTCTTTGCTTTGAATTCCTGGTGAGGGCCATGAAAGCATAGCTGGGACATCAGATAACTCAAAACCTGTGAGGCAAGAATTCCTCAAAGAGAGTGGGTGGAGGAGGAGCAGAGAGCTCTCTGTTTTGAAAACATCTCAAAAAAATCTTGGAAGGAGATCATACATCCCATTTCTGTCTTCCTCTCCAAAGAGGAAGACTTTAATCTGCATAAATTAAAACATAAATTGGATAAATAGGCTCCTTATTTGTATTACTCCCTTTCCTGAATGTTCCTTATTTGCAGGTCTATGATGCCCATTGAAAGACTGAGCAGATGGATGTTCTTGTCTTGTCTCAAGGCTTTGCTGAAGGTCATGGCAAGCAGGAACTCATTTTCCTCAACACTTAGCAAAGCTGCATGTAACTTGACATTTTTTGGCTCAGGTTGTGTGCCGTCTGCAGCTTGGTAAAGTGTATAGTTGGAGTGCAGGGACAATTGAGGAGAAAGTTGAATTGTGGCATTTCACAACAAACAAGGTCTGGTGTTTCAAGAATGGGAATAGGAATTGGGCATGAGTTCAGGGAGAATGTGACAGGAAAGAAACCAGAACAGTAAAATCCCTTACCCTTTCAGTGCCTTGTTTTCCTCATGTGTGTAGTGTATGTACGTGACTTTGAAAGTATCACCAAATCATCTGCAGCTTAATGGTGTTGCGGAGTTCTTATTGTCATTTCATGGATGCAGCTTTTTCTCCTGTACTTTCAGGCACAACTCAAGTCTCTTGGTGTATTATCAGCATAAAGGACATAGAGAATTGCTTTTGCATCACGCTAAGGTAAGAGTGTATGTTGTCCAAGGGTTACTGCACAGAACTAAGACTCTCAGCTCCTGAACTTAACTTCCTGTTTTGAAATCAACTTTGGCATGTCACAGCTGGGGCCTGTTGTTCTGAGACCTGCTGAGCACTTGTGATTCCTGTTGAAGTCTGAGAGCTGCAGGTTATGGGCATTTCTGAAACTGGAAGCTCAGTTGTGTGAGGTTAGATGTTCCACAACAGCCACTTGAGATAAATGGTCATTAAAATTTCAGCCCGAAGCTTCTCATGTCTCTTTCTCAGTCTCTTCAACATGTTCAGTGATGATTGTCTTCTCCACAGGCATAATCGTCAGGTAATTATTATTGAACTTTGAGATTCTATACAAAATAATGCCATTTCTCATGCATGACAGATATCAAAACAATAGCAAGGGCATTCAGATAAAGAAATAGAAAAACAATTCTAGAACTCAGAAGTGTTATAGAAGGGGAAATCTAGATAAATATCAATCAAAGACTTGCCAACAGCGAGGTACAACCAGTGTTGAAAGTCTTAGTCTGCGGTGTAGATTAGATTCAGTTCCCTCTGCACTGGACTTCTGCGTGATCTTGAGCAAATAATGTGATTGTTCTTTTCCCACTTGTAAAATGTAGATAACACTCTTGCCTCAGAGGTGTGTTGTGAGCGTAAGTACAAGAAAGATCACAAAGTTCCCGGAATGTGGGAGTATAATACCCTAAAATTGCGATTGTTATATGCACAGATTCAGCTGTGTAGTAGCCCTCTGTCTCACAGAGTGTTTTCAATTCAAACTACTTTTCATCTGGTTTTGCGAGCTCAGAATTTATTACAGAGGTTTGGAATATACAAATCTGTTTTTTTCTTTATATCGAAACCCACTAAAAAAACAATTTCCACAGTAATGTTGTCTCCTTTAATCTAGCAACATTATGCTAATTTTTATGCAATTATATTAGGGAAATAAGATTGCAAAGCTTTTGTGAAGCGCTATTTATACTACTTGATATTATTTTTAATTGCATTCTGATCTCATGTCGTTTAGTGTTTCATGCCTGAACACCAGATTTTCAAATTAAAGAAATTTGAAGTAGCATTTTTAGGCATATCTAGGGCACTTTGAAGCCCGAGTTCATGGATATGCTTTTCTTAGTAACTGGGATGTTTTTGAAGCTGTTTTACTTTGTGGGTAGCCTGCTGTTCATCACAGCCCCCAGCCCTTCCACAGTTCACAGAGCCATGGAAAACACAATCAGAAGAGATCAGGAGGGCGTGTGGCTTGGTCTGGTGTCCTCTTCCACTCCTGACCGATGTTCAGCTGGGCTGTACGTTCCCTGCTGACACACTTGATGTTATTAAAAGGACTTGCTGACTCGTGGTGCTGGCAGTGACAAGGTGACAGAAATAATAGAACCCTTGTTCAGCAGCAACCTCGCACCAAAGGTGTGGTTGACAAGGCTGGATGAGGTGGATTATGAGATGCAAATAATGGTTTATCTGTGACACTTTCAGAATAATATTTTGTAGGATATTAATACATCAGCAGATTTGAGTAATCAGTTCTCAGCCCTTATTTCTGTATAATCATTCTTTGCATTTCTTTGTGACCGTCTGAAATACCTATTACTTATTTGCATAAAGTGTTTCTAGTATATAATAGGTGTGCACTGCTACTTGCACACCAACATGAATTATTCATGCACTTCAACTTTAATAGAAAAAAAAGCAGCAATAGAATTTTCCCTTTTAAGCCCAACATTTTAGCACAAATTTCTTAAGTTGTAAGTTCTGGTGTAACTATCATATAGTGCCCAGATTTACAGTTTGAGAGCTGGAATTACTGTGGTGATGATCAAACGTCAGCATTGAGTGCTGAAAGCCCACGAAGTTAGCGGAGCTGCTGATGCAATATCATGATAGAAAATTGTTACTAATACAAATCAGTCCTTTGTTAGGATAATAGTAAAATAAATCAATAAATTGGATTTACTTTGTAAGTAACATAGCTTTACCTGGATAATTTTGCTAAAGGAAAGCTGCTCAGTTGCAGATTGATGCCAGGCAGCAGCCAGAGCACCCTGGAGATTTCTCCTTGTATGTGGCTTTTTGAATAAAACGTGGGGTGACACAGAGGTGACCCAAGCTCAAGCATTAGCAAATAAAAGGAGTCACTTCTGCGTAGAAAAAATACCCAGGGTGCTGTTCCTATTGCTACTCTGAGGTACTGCTCACCTAAACCTCTCTGCTGTTTAAAATCCCCACTGGACACTACTGTTTGTTCCAGCAGTGCCCTCTGCTGCTTGACAGCACTGAAGGGATGTCCAAAGAGCATCTTCCCCTCGAGTATTTCAAACCTCGTTCACAAAAATCATTTACTTTTAAAAAGATGTGGAAATAAAAGATATAATGATATTATGTTGGTTTATTAATGTACAAGTCACACATTGACTTTAAACAATTAAACACAAAATATTCCATAACAAAATGTTGGTGTCCGATGTTTTCTGGCTGCATTCTCATGCAAGAATTCAGGTGGAAAAAATGGCATTTTCAGAACTGCTCAGGCATCTTAAGCCTCCAGTGCAATTAATCTACTAAAGGGTTAAGCCATTCTCCTTCATTTCCTTGTTTGAATATTCAGTTAATTTAACAACTCGCTAAATAAACCTCTTTTTTATTTAATTTTTTTTAGCTTGTAAAGTATCAGTACCTCTGATTTACACAAGGGGAAGAAAGGTCATACAATTCCAGGTGTATTCTGACAACTTCTGAGTACTCCAGTACTCAGTAAGGAGATACAAGCACAAGAGCATCTGTGGAGACAGAGGCTCTTACCTTTTTAGATCCCCTTTGAAGTGCTGCAGTTCATGGTGTGGTTTTGCTTACAAGTCTGGGCTTTGTTCTGGAGATAGGACCTAACTTAGAAAAACAGCCACTGTTGGCTGCATCAGTTTGTAGTTGTAAGCAAGAGACAGTGAACAACCAGGTTCTGTTGTCTCTTGCTCAACCTTGAGCACTTTATTAGGAGTTACATCCTCACTGAATTGGGGTCCAGGTTAGTGACACAACAGTGATGTTCTTTGAGTTCTCTCAGTCACACACTCCTCTGCTCCAGAACAAAAAAAGTGACTGCTCTCCATTTTCAGACTCTCTGATCTTTTATCCAACTAATCTGTTTGTGAATTAAAACCGAATTCACATTCATTCAATTTTAAAATATCTTCAAAGACTTTTAAACTACTGCTGTGGTCTTTCATCTTCACGAGAACTGGACAGATTGAGCTCTCGATAAAGGTTGCTTTAAGCAGATCATCTGTATAGTAGCAAATATGTTTTCCGCTTTTGGCTCTCCTAGCAACTTAAAGGTAATTGGCTGTGCTCTGAGTTGGTAACCCAAATATTTAAAAACATGAGTGGTTAAAGTTTAATCCACTGTCATGGTGACAATGTGGCAACAGAAGCTGTGTGTCAGGATTCATTCCTCACCTGGAGAACAAAGTGGCAGTAACACTCATGTAGGATGATCTCTTATGGGATGTGTGAAGTGGACCTTGTTAACGGGTGAAAGTAGGATTTTCCACCATGAATGGATACCCAAACTGCTCCACTAACCACACTAAAATTTGGAGTCATTATTTAGTACTTGCACTGGGCATCCCTCAAATGACCATTAACATCGCATCTGTGATCATCAACTGCACAGTCATCTTCACCAGAGTGGCGACAAAGGATCTGCACAAGCCTATCTCTATCCTCTTCTGCAACTTGGCTTTTTCAGATCTCTTTACCAGCTTTTCTGGCTTTTGGATCTCAACACTGTTCATCACCAATCCTGACATTACAATCTTTGGATCCAAGGAAATGCTTGCACCTTATGCCTTATATACTACAGCTATTTTATCCACCATCTACAACTTGGTAAGCATTGGAATCGAACGCTATTTGGCTGTGGCTGAAAGCATGAGGACAAGATTCAGGGTTGCTAGAAACCATTCCATAGCTGTAGTTCTAATTAACTGGGTCCTTGCTTTCTTTCTGGGCTGCTTGCCATTGATGGGGTGGAACTGCTTGAGTATGGGAAAAAATCTCTCTGTCCTCTACAGTCCATTTTGCATCAACTACCTCATCTTCATTGCCATTCCCAATGTTGTGGTGGCTTTTATCATCCCTCTGTTCACTTACCTTAGAATTATCATCATCCTGAGGAAAAGAAAGCTGAGAATGAAAGCATGTGGACAAGCTACCAGCACCTACAAATCAGCTGAAATCCAGGTTGCCAGAACCAGTATTTTTATTTGGCTCCTGGCGTTGATCTCCTACGCTCCTTTTTTTGCAGGAGTCATATTTGATGCAGTTAACCAGCAGTGCCACGCTGATCTCTACCCAGGTGTCTACATCTTTCGAAACTGCACAGCTATGCTGATAACCATGAACTGTTTGGGAAACCCCATAATTTATACCCTGAAAGGCAAAACTCTGGGGGCTAAACTCAGGACTCTGAAATGCCTCTCCACCAGCCGTAGCCGAGCCTGCACCATCGCGAACATCTAGCCAGGAATGGCCTTGCTCCAGGGCTGCTGGCTTGGTGGGGCCATCAGAGGGAGATCTGGATTAACGTGTTTACTTTGCATTTGGAAACGGCCTTCTGTTGCGCTCGCTTTGCTGCGGGGATTCACATCCTTTTTGTATTATTTGTGTGGTTCTGAAGGCAGTTACATGGATAGAAAACTTCCAGTAGTGTAGGGGAAATGTAATTTTACTGTCTTATTTACAGTCAATTTTATCTTTGAATATTTGATGAATCTCTGTTAACGGGGCCACTCAGAATTGTTTTTCTGTTGTCATTTTAATTGTGGTTTGTAGCTGGATTACATGTTTTTGTGAGACAGTTGTGACTACACTTCTCATATTTCTGCTTATAAATAGCAGCGCTCTTGAGTCCGTGGCTTTTGAAATTTGCACTGTTCTAGGAGAAAACCTGCCTTGAATTCTCCAGGGTCAGAATTGCAGTGAAGTTGCGTGTACAAAATAAAATAAAAATGTCCAGACCCAGTATTCTGTAACAGGAAAAGGTCTCACTTCTCTGAGGAGGAACTGGCTGCTCAATAGTTAACCTGTCAGATCCGAGTGGAGATGAATGCTCATTCTTGGCTATACAGGAATACTCGCTAGTAGAATGACGAGGCTTTAATTTCTTCTCTCTTGTGCAGTTACCGGTCTAGATCCTCGCTCGAATGGTGCCATTAACTCATCGTTCTGGTTTTTAAAGTGCGCTCAGGTCTCAAGTGCTGCTCATCATCGCTGTGAGGATCCACGCGGTGAAAACGTTCTCACAGTGGTGAAACGCACACACACCCCCAGGGCCAGTCCAACCACGCTCAGTCCAGGCTCCGGCTTTCAGGGATTTCTTTCCAGTTTCTTTGCTTTATTGTTGTTGTAAAAGGGTTGAGTGACTTAAGAACAAAATCCTGGAGCAGCTATGAGAAAAGAGTGAGTTTTCTGTGAGAAACGGGGTCACCTACAGCTGTGAGAAATGGCCGAGTGTTGTCACGTTATCAGATCCATCAGGCAGCGGTGTGTGTTTAGGGCTGTAACTGCTCCTCTGCTGCTTTCCACTGGAGAACTCGGGGAAAATCTCTTTTATCTGAATTAAAATTCAGACATGTCAGAAAATGGATGGCTCTAAATGATGCAAACTAAAAAGAATTATTTAAATAGATAATTGAGCTCAGGCAAGATGAGTCTGGCTCCGTTTTTCTCCTGACTCCTGGTCTGGAAGCGTTTCCTGTTCTGTCCCCCAGTGCCACCCTCCAGCCCGTCTCTCACTGACCATATTTCAACCTCAACCGAGTAACAGGAGCTTGAACCAAAATTTACTGAAGAGTAAATGGGAAAGGTCAGCCTGGAGGGGGGGGTGTGGGATATTTGTGAGGTGACAGTGGTTTCTCTTCCTACTGATGTTGTCAAGGTGCTTTGTAAAGACCTGAATGTTTCGTGGCTCACGGGCCATCCCAGGGACTGTCACTGCAGAAGCAAAGCGGCAGCTGGAATCCAGCCCAGACCCCTCGAGGTGAAACGGGTTTTATATCCAGATCTAAAAACCAGTGACAGGCGGTGAGTGACGGGATCTGTGCGGATACGGAAACACAGAGAGAGCTGGGCCAGGCCCCGCCTTACGCTTGGCTCTAATCGGTGCTCAACTAGCGATCGTGGGACGAGGTAATGGGCGATCGATTAACAAACCTGGGTGGGGTGATTGGTGACTGATTAGCAAGCCTGGGTTACAAAGTGATTGGCAGTTGATTAACAAGCTTGGGTAGAAGCGATTGGCGATCAACTAACGAGCCTGGGTAGAGGTGAGTGGCAGTCGATTAAGGAGATCGATTACCGAGCCTGGATAGAGTCGATCGGCGATCGATTAATAGTCCTGGGTAGAGTAGGTTGGTGACCAATTGATTGGTGACTGATTAGCAAGCCTGGGTTACAAAGTGATTGGCAGTTGATTAACAAGCTTGGGTAGAAGCGATTGGCGATCAACTAACGAGCCTGGGTAGAGGTGAGTGGCAGTCGATTAAGGAGATCGATTACCGAGCCTGGATAGAGTCGATCGGCGATCGATTAATAGTCCTGGGTAGAGTAGGTTGGTGACCAATTAAGGAGCCTAGTCCTGGGTAGAGTAGGTCAGCGACCGATTAAGGAGCCTGGGTAGAGTCGATCGGCGATAGATTAATGAGCCTGGGTGTCGCTAATCAGTGCTCGATTAGCAATGCTGGGTAAAATCGATTAACGACTCTCGATTAAGAAGACTAGATAGCTGATCATTGGTCCATAAGAGATCTTGGGTAGAGTCGATCAGCGATCGATTAACGAGCCTGGATAGAGGCTATCGGCGATCGATTAGCAATGCTTGGTAAAAGCTATTGACTCTCGATTAACTCGTTCGCCGATCGATTAAGGGTCCTGGGTAGTCGATCGGGGATCGATTAAGGATCCTGTACTGAATCAATCGGCGATCGATTACCGAGCCTAAATAGAGTCGATTGTCGATCGATTAAGGATCCTGGTTAGCCGATCGGGGATCGATTAAGGATCCAAAAAACGATCGATTACAGAGCATAAATGGAGTCGATCGGGGATCGATTAAGGATCCTGTGCCAATTCCATTGCCGATCGATTCAGGATCCTGTGCTGAGTCGATCGCCGATCGACTAATGATCCTCGGTAGAGTCGATCGGCGATCGACTACCACGCCTGGATAAAGTCGATCGGCGATCGATTACCGAGCCTAAATAGAGTCGTTCGCCGATCGATTAAGGGTCCTGGGTAGTCGATCGGGGATCGATTAAGGATCCTGTACTGAATCAATCGGCGATCGATTACCGAGCCTAAATAGAGTCGATTGTCGATCGATTAAGGATCCTGGTTAGCCGATCGGGGATCGATTAAGGATCCAAAAAAAACATTCAATTACCGAGCCTAAATAGAGTCGATCGGGGATCGATTAAGGATCCTGGTTAGTCGATCGGGGATCGACTACTAAACCTGGATAAAATCGATTTGGGATCGATTAAGGCGCCTGGGTAGAGCCGATCAGCGATCGATTAACGAGACTCGGTGGATGCGTTCGACAATGGATTTAGTAAGTAGTTTTATTAATCCATCGTCGTTTACGTTCACCCAGGTTCGCTAATTGAACATCGAGCTCTTCTACCCAGGATTGCTAATCGAGTAATGATCGCGTCTACCCAGGTTCACTAATCAATTGCCGTTCTCTCCACCCAGGCTTGCCAATCAACCACCGACAATTCCACCCAGGCTCGTCAATCGATCGCCGATTGCCTTTATCCAGGCTCAGTAATCGATCGCCGATCGGCTCCATTCAGGGTCCTTAATCGATCGCCGATTGACTCCATCCAGGACCCTTAATCGATCGCCGGGCGGCTCGATCCCGGACCAACGCTGATTGACTCTATCCAGGCTCAATAATCGATCGCCGGTCGGCTCTACCCAGGAATCGCTTATGAACCAGTGATGAACTCTCTAATCTGAATATATCGTCGAACGACTTTACTGAGCATTGCTAATCGATCACCGATCTACTCTACTCAGCTTTGGTAATCGATCAATAATGGACGCTACCCAGGCTCGCTAATCAACCGCCGATCGCTTTGTAATCCAGATTTGCTAATCGATCGCCAATCGATCAATAATCGACTCTACTCAGGCTCTTGAATCGATCGTCGAGTGCCTCTAGCCAGGATCGCTAATCGAGCGTCGATTGCTTCCACCCAGAATTGCTAATCGAGCAATGATCCACTCTACCCAGGTTCGCTAATCAATCGCCGAAACCCTTACCCAGGCTTTTTAATCGATCGCCTATCGCCTCTACATCGGATCGCTAATCAATCACTGATTAGTGCTTCCCAGGCTCATTAATCGATCGCCTATTGCCTTTACCCAGTTTCCACAATCGATCAATAATGGACTCTACCCAGGTTTGTTAATCGATCGCCGATTGTTTATACACAGGCTTGCTAATAGATCACTGATTTGCACCACCCA